TCTCTCTCCTAAAAACACAAAAATTAGCTGGGCATGATGGCGGGCACCTGTAATCCCACCTACTCGGGATGCTGAGGCAGGAGAATCACCTGAACCTGGGAGTCAGAGGTTGTGGTGAGCCGAGATTGCACCACTGCACTCCAGCCTGAGGGACAGAGTTAGAGTCCATCTCAAAAACAAACAAACAAAAAAACCAACAACAAAAAACAGTGGATCTCTCACTCTCTCTCTTTCTCTACACACACACACACACACACACACACACACACACCCCTTATTGGTTCTGTTTCTCTGGAGAACTCTAACACAAGGGATGCGGGTGATGCATCATGGTATCTACTAAGGTTGATGCTATAGTTTGGATGTTTGTCCCCTCCAAATCTCATGTTGAAACATGATCCCAAAGTTCAAGGTGGGGCTTGGTGGGAGGTGTTAGGGTCATGGGGGTGGATCCCTCATGAATGGCTTAGTGCTGTCCTCGCAGTGATGAATGAATTCTCACTCTGTTAGGTCACCTGAGCTAGTTGTTTGAAAGAGCCGGGCACCCCTCCTTGTCCCTCTTGCTCTGTCTCTCACCATGTGACGTGTCGGCTCTTTGCCTTCCACCATGATTGGAAACTTCTTAAGCCCCTAACCAGATGCAGACACTGGCACCACACTTCTTGGCTGCAGCCTTTGTGTGCGCAGTGACAGCAAAGACTTCAGCTGAGCCCATGGGGAGTCGGGCATCTCGGAAATTGTCCCAACTTGAAGCAAGGTGGAGTGGCCTTTGTACCCCACAACCCCCTGGTCGGGGGAGGGTGGCCTGATCTTGGACATGGAAGCTCCCTTCTGCAGGGGGGCAGTGACTGGAGAGAGACTCAGAACCATAAGCCAAATAAACCTCTTTTCTTTGTAAATTACCAGCCTCAGGTGTTCTTTTGTCGCAAAACGAATGGACTAATACAGTTGTCGAGGTAGGAGGAAAGAACACACACAATGTGTTATCTTCTCGCATAACTTTTAAATATTTAGATGTACAGCGTGTGGGTCTCCACTTGCCCTCTTGCCCCATCCAGAGGTTGCTGGAACCAGCTCACAGTGGCTCTCCAGAGCTGATTGTATCCATTTCTTCTCAACTCCCGGTTTGGTGACATCAGGTTGGTGGCTTGGATCTGCATGCTGTGGGTATTTATACCAAGGAAATCAGCAAACACTACAAATCAGGGCTATTTTTCCGCCAGGGAGCTGGCTGCTAAATGTTTAGCTACACAGTCTGCCTGGGTTCCATACATGGTAGCAGCAAACCTGCCCCACACCAGCAATTCCACGAGGAAGTCCCTGTTCCATGGCGCCATCTCTCCTGAGCTCCCACGACTCCATTTCCTCCCCCACAACCCTTTAGCAATAGGGAGGTGACAGCTCCCCACTGCCACTTCTCTTTGAGTCTGTTCCCCACTCTTTCTTGTTCACTTGGTAGGTAGTCCCTCCGCTACAGCCTCCTTCTTTGAACCGTCTGAGATGAATTCTGTTTCCTGCTGGGCTTTGACTGATAAAAAGGCAGATCTGCTCCTTATTCTGTGCTTCAGCCTACAAATCAATGGCCATCCCCTCCCCTCTTCCAGCTTCCAGCTTCAGGATCAGCAGCCGACAAGTTGTTTGATTTTTCACCTTCCCTCCTTTCTACCCTGTCCATTTGTCCCTCCTTGCCAAACATGCAGTAGAAGAGGCTTAGAGTCTCTGCTGTGGCTTCAGTCCTGCTACAAACTTTCTTTCTTTCTTTTTTTGATGGAGTTTCACTATTTGTTGCCCAGGTTGGAGTGCAGTGGCATGATCTCAGCTCACTGCAACCTCCACTTATCCCCGGTCAAGCAAATTCTCCCACTGCTCAGCCTCCCGAGTAGCTGTGGAATTGACAGCATGTGCCACCACGCCGGCTAATTATATTTTTAAGTAAGAGGACAGGGTGCTTCCACCATGTTGCACGACGGGTCCCGAAATTCGCTGACCATCTAGACTGATCACACCCCGCCTCGGCCGTAAAAAAGTGCCTGATTCAGGCATGAGCCACTGCACACAACAGTGCCTGGTTAGCACACCCTTTCAGCACCACCTCCCCCACAGGAAGACATCACCCGCCCAGCCAGCACCCCATTGCTTGTCTCTGTTACCACCTGGTTAACTTAAAATATGTGGCAGTCGTTCGCTTAATGAGTTATTTTTGATAAAAGCCCCAAATACTAATAAGAACAGCAAAAGAGGGCAACATGTCCACAATAATTGAAACCAATACATTTAATTTGAGAAAAATCAGAGTAGCACGCAAATCACGTGGGGGCTGGGCTCTGCGATCTCATCTCTTTCAACTATTTTACAAGTCTAGAACCTCCTTGTTTTCAACCAGGCAATTCTTTTATATTCCCTGCATACTGACTTACACTTTTCAGTAAACGCTCTGAAAACTGGGCGCCCTGGACTTAGAACGAAAGGCACGGATTGCTAACAGGCCTGGCCACACCATGCAGTAGCCATTGACATGTCCTTCTATGCGCACAACCCAATAGGCTCTGCGGAGTTCAGTATTTTTCCTCCCAAGTTGGCCTCGCTTTCCCAAGTCCCGTCTATCCACACTGCCTCCCTCAGTTGGCATTCGACAGCAACCGAGCTTATGGTGACGTTTAATCAAGATACAAAAAAAGAAAAACACAACGTCCTTCTTTTTCATTGGTTTTGGGCTAACCACCAATGCTTTTTTGCGCTCTCAAGAAACAAAAAGAAAAGAAAGCTGTGCTATCCCGGTTGCGTCTGCTGGCCTTCCCTTTCCTTCTGGAAAAACCCACTTCCCTTCCCACATCTAGTCAGTGAGGTAGGCGACCGAAGGAAGTTGGTAGCTGGAAGCCACCTGACCCAAGCGAGACCAATCATAATTTCTGTCCCATATGCCACCCTGAGTTGGCCTAGCCTGCCAAATCAGCCTGTTCTGAGACTCATCTAGGAGTGGGGCATCTGGGATGAAGGTTTTTTCAAGGTACTTTTGACTGAGAATTCCTCGGGCACCTGAGCCTGTTATTTGCACATTGTTTCGTGTTCATTTGACCACTAGCCCGCTGCAGTATCCACCAAATAAACTCTGCTTATTTACTCAAGCCATGAAAAGAGGCCCAGAAATGAAGCGCCCAGCCTTGCCCAAAGTAGATGCGACGAGAGTCACGCTAATCGAAGAAGGGTAGAACGAGAGAAGCCTCTCTCTCCCCCGCCTCTCAAGGCAGCAAAGAGGAAAGACAGAAGGTCTACCAGAACAAGGCCAATCAGCCAGCAAGTCTTTGCAAAATGCCTTCCAGCATGGCAATCTGTCTCTGACCCTCTAAATCTACCAGCCCAGATTGTGGAGCAACCAAAGGAGGGCCACGCGACACATCTACCGCCTGTGACACGCTTCCAAAACCTGCATCTCTAGTGTATGCCGCGGAGGCCTGCCCATAAGGTACGCCCTTTACTAAGCTAGCCTACCCTAGACTAAAATGTAAATGAAGTATCCACCTTTTTCTTATTTGAGCACGCGATTCAACCAATACTGAGTCAGAGACCTTAAATGATCTAGGCCAACAATTTTCACAATTTCTTTTTTTTTTTTTTTTTTAGTTTTGGGAAGATTCTTATGGAGCTATCACACCAGAGGGAAATAATGTGTAAAAACCAAATGTTTGTTACTATAAGTCTGCATCACAACAAAAATCAAACAGTTTTTAAAAACAGTCCAACCAACAACAACATACTTCAGATCAATAGTTCTTTGAGCACAGTAACACTTAATTGGGTTAAGACTCGAATTAGCAGAAATTGGTTGGTTGGATAACAATACAACTTACACATTTTGCTCAAATAGAAATACAAAAAAGCGCAAAATGTGTGTCTCAGCAGAGATACAGTCCCTGAATTCACCAACACTGGGAAACAGTCTGTTAGAGATGTTAGAGCCTGGAGATAACAAGGAATTCCAGGCAATACCTTTAACAGTCTTTGCCTTTTCCAATCAGAGATTTGTGGAATGTGTGGAATCGACACCACCAGCATTTTTAGCCCTGGATGAGCGAATCCAATCTCATCATCCAACAAATAGCAGTAAGTGAACGAGG